TTCAAGCGGCCCCTGGAAGCAAATGGCGGAGCAGCACTGAAATAAGCAGCCCATAAAAGCGAATGAGCGCAGAGCACCCCCTCATGGCAAGTGACTTCCGCGTTTCCACAACAATGATCGGCGGTATTTGAAAGCGTGAATGTGACTGAGGTACTCTTACCGTACACTTTTAAAAAAAGGGTACTGTAGTACCCTCCTTAAGGGGGTAACCGACTTGCACACAGGGCAACCCCTTTTGGAGGTAACGTTACCCCCTACAACGACGGTGCAAACGTACCCCCTACGTTAGGGTGCAACCTTGCCTCCTTTCGGAGGTAACCTTAGTTCCTTTTGGTGCTAAAAGTGCATCCTTTCAGGGTCAGCCTTTACCTCCTTTAGGGGGGAAGTTTAACCCTTTTAAGAGGTAAGACGACATAATTGAGGGCGCTGCTTTTACCTGCTTTAGGAGGGAACTATGATCCACTTTGGAATTAAATGTAAACGATGAGGAAAACAACACTGAAAACGCGGACTACGAAGGACAAACAAGACAGGACAGTGCTGTCCTGTCGTGTTTGTTCTTCGTAGTCCGCACTTTCCGAGCTGTTTTCCCCATCATGTATAACAGCAACTAACTGGCACAGTTTACCACCTTATTACAGGTTAAATGTACACTTGACGGAATCACTTTTACCCCCTAAAGAAAGGTACTATGGCCCTCTGTGCGTGTGATAGTACATGCTTCATGGGTGGGCTTTATAATAGATGAAGACGACCTAATTCTGAAAGTAAATGACAAAGTTTTATTGTGGCTGTCACAAACAAAATGGCCTAAAAATCAATGGCATGACTATACATCTTATAAAAATTCTAAGATGAAACCACTAAGCGCAATAAAGGCATCTGGAACAACACTTTCCAATACAAAACTTGAAAGTATAAAACAGAGAGGACAAGGACGGGAACAAGACATCATTCATTTAGCAACAACATAGAATGGTACAACGATAAAACAGCCCCCCAAGGGTCTCAACGTTCTCAAAGAGGAAAAAAGGAGATACTAGTTATAAAGGAGAGGTTATACACTAAATAGAAAAGTTTGAAAAGCGGATCAGTAATCTAGATATCTCCGATTACTTAGAATTCGACCTTTGTCATTGTCAGTGATAATGCAGAATTATTCTTGTTTGCAGTCCAAAAAGGGAAATGTACTATAAATATAAGAGTTTAAAAAGCATGTAGGCGTCACGACGAGATGTCAGTATTCTAGTCATCTCTGGTGTTAAGAATTCGACCTCTGTCTTTGTCAATGATAATGAAGGTGCAGAAATGTTGTTGTTAACAGTTGTTGTTAACAGGCAAATGATTCGATGATTTCTCTCCCAAATCTGTTGTTGTGCCCACCCAGTATTTTAGTATCAGAAAAATGAGGAGTACAGTCATCGCATGTGCGGCTGTGAACGAAAATAGGGTGATACGACTCAGTTGAAGCCTTTGATGCTTCCAAGTTGTGTTCTCTGAGTCAGTGGTTGACACATCTCCCAGTCTGACCAATGTACTGACTGCCACAGCTTAGCGGAATCGAATAAACCTTTCTTTCTTCGCATTCTACGAACTTTTTGGCATGTTTTATATTACACCCTCGGGGACTGTCGCTCCCATTAACCTTTTTGCACATCTGTTTGAGGCGCATACGACAAGAAAAAACCACGTTCGTGTCGAATTTGGACGCGATTGACCTTAAACGGTGCGCGGAATTGTGCATGTAGGGAATCACAGCGAAAGGACCTTTCTTTTTTGAAACAGCTTGCGGAAGTTGTGGTTTGATAATGAACCTCTCAAGGGTGGAACGAAGTAGGTCAGCAGGAAAGCCTGCTTTTTCTAACCTGTGCTGCTGCAACTTGAGGCTACTTTCGGAGATATGCGTGCACGACTTGGAGAATGAGGACTTGAAAAGTGACCTTACTAGGCCATGCTTAATGGACTTGGAGTGCGCACTGGTGAAAGGAAGGACTGGTTTCTCCGACCTCTGCTGGAAGGCCCAACAAACACCTGAGGAATGAGGATGCAATCGTAAATCCAGAAACTGTAATCCTTCCACTGAAGAATTTTCCTTGGTAAAAATTAGCCCTGCCGCAAAGTCTTGGAAAACTTCAAAGATGCGGTCAGCGGACGCAGCGTCTGGATAAATGACCAAGTAATCGTCAACATACCTAAAAACTGGGCAACCCTGGAAGGACTTTTTCAGCTGATCGTTAATAGCCCTGTCAACAAAAAGAAGAAATATTTCACTGAGGTCAGGTGCAAGGTAAGAGCCTATGCAAACTCCCTTCTTTTGTCTGTAAATATTTCCTTCGTATTCTACCAAAAGTACACTGTAAATAGTATCTATCAGGTCGATGAAGCCCTCAACCGAAACACCGGAGGAATTTTGAAAGTCGCAAATTACGTGTTCATGGGTTGCATTAGTCACAGAATCTAAGATGAGTTTTGGTTCTAGGCTGTAATACATATCTTCAATGTCGAAAGACATAACTGAATGTGGGATGGAACAAAAATGAAGCGAATCGAAGCGGGGGATTATTTCAATGGAGTTTTGGACTCTTGAAAGGCTGAGGGAGGATGATATTAGACAAATGTTTTTGTAGATAACGACCCAGAGGCTTTTGCCAACAACCAATTTCTGAATTTATGCTCCTGAAGGGAACTCCATACTTGTGAGATTTTGCAGTAAAGAACACAGACAAATACTGTTTGGCAGGACTACCAATGACGTTCTTAAGAGAGGTCAGGTTCAAGGAGGAACAAAGTTCCTTTCCCCTCGAACGCAGTCAACCCGAGGGCATAGTTTTTAAGGGCTCAAAATTCTTTGAAAAGGCATCGAGAACCTTATCATTAAAAGCACTTTCTTCTAAAATTACGAAAACACCCGTTTTGTCCGATTCAAGTAATTTTAGGTGTTCATGGCGAAGTTCTTGCACAGCCGCACGCAGTGGAAGCCTGCTTGGCCGAGGGGGTTGATGGTGACACACTGCACGCACTGCCGAGCCCAGAAAGTCTTGCCGTTGATGTTCAGGTATAGACGACGCGACTTGATGCACAGAGGCTAGCTGGTCCACCTTCAACGAAGAAAGATCTGGAGCAAACTTTGGTCCCCTCGACAGCAGATCCATTGTGGCAGCGGAGAACTTTTTTGTAGAAAGCATCACGGGAGGTTCAAACTTGGTGGTCTTTACCTGTAGACACGAGGTGTTGACTTCCTTGGGCAGTATAGGCTCTTGCCGAGCGCTCCGAACCCTATATAAAATCTAACGGAAATGTAACGCTCTGCCTGTTTATAATGTAAAGCATTACATGTATAGAATACTGTAAATTATAATATATTTTTTCTGCTCCGCGTACCAGCGCGGAGCGCATGGAGTGAAAGCTCGCAATGCAGAGCCCAGGGATCCTGGATTCAATCCCCACCCCTGCCCGCTTCGATCTGGATGAGCATTGAAACGGCGAGCAGTCGTGTTTCACTACTGCCTGGTGCACGTTAAAGACCCCAGGCTGTAAAACACTGGCCAAATTTCTCATTTACAGCTGAGAGACAATTCGCACGTTGAGGCAGGGAAACGTCCGGCTGTATAAACATACAAAGACCCAATTTGTTTTAAATGCCTACGCTGCAGATAAGCGTACCGGAGCCTGTGCTTAGTGCAGTAGAATGCCTTCCTTGTCAGAACTCGCGCGTAAAACTGGCACTTTCAAAAGCAACGCTGTCGTCTGCGACGTGGAGTGTAGAGATTTTACATGGTATGTCAAATTAGTCACTTTAGAAAGTGAATGTATCAGGTCCATGCTTATAATGAACGAAAATTTAGAATCTAACAGTCAAAAGCCGAGAGTGAAAAAGTTGGTTTGAAAAAGAGCCTCATCGAAGTTTCCCATGAGTGAGGCAATGTGGACGCAAGCAGCTCCGTTTGCTTGCATGCAAAATCGTTTTTTTTTTGTTTTTGTTTTTTCGCGAGCAAAGGTACCACGCATTGTCCTGATCCTGTTGACGTGTGTGTCTTCTGTAATGCCTACGCTGCACAATGCTTACGTGGAGAGCGCATGTAGACTACATGACATTTAAAGCTAACCGTGTGCTAAATTGTTTCAGGAGGAATTTTCGCAAGTGTCCTTCCAATTAAAAAAAAAAACACCCTGTTTGTTTCTAATGTGAGGCCTATTATGGAGCACGCTTGCGTGCTCAGGGACCCCAAAGAACGCTATCTAGAACAGAAAATTGAACAAATCGAGAACAAAGCTGGTAGGTTCGTTACAAAAAATTACAATTTCAATGTGTTACTGCCCTAAAACGTCAATTAGACTGGGAACCTCTGAACTCTAGAAGACGCCGCCTCCGTTTAAAATTTTTGCATAGGATCTATTATGATCAAACTGGACTGGATAAAACTAAATCAATTGAACTGCCGCACTTTGTGTCACGCAGATTCGATCATTCCAAAAAAAAAAAAAATAGAGAATTTTGAGCTAGGATTAATATACTCAAATTCTCATTTTTCCCGAATACCGTTGAACAATGAAACGTATTGCCAGAGTAAATAATTTCAATTCCATCGTCTGATAATTTTTTTTGACAAACTGTCACGTGACAGCTGGGAATAAGGAAAGTGCATTTTCTCTTTTTTCACTTGTAATCAAAATGCTTGGTCTGTAACACGGTGCTTTGTGTCTTCATACCTTTGCTTGTACGAAAAATTATATTGGTGGCTAAAGCTTAATACCATTGTAGATTCATTTGCTAAAATGTTATAGTTTTGCAAGCCAATTTTTTGTTTTGCGAGCTTGCTTTTTTTTTTCGTGTGTTTCTGTATTTGACGGCTGTAATTCTTGTGCAAATGTATCCTCACACCTTCCGCCCCCCCCCCCCCCTCTCCTGCAATAATGCCTCTTGGCGCTGCGGGGTAACATGTAATAAATAAATAAATAAAGTAATACAATGTGTCCGCCCTCAAGCAGATCAGACTCACCTCGGCAGCCACATGGCACGCGTCAACGGCAGCGTCGACGCCGGAGTTTCCGATGCCAACGACGGCAACCCTCCTGTCCTTGAACTGGTCCGGGACCTTGAGGCTGTGCGTGTGAACGATCCTGCCCTTGAATTTCTCCTGGCCCTTGAACGTGGGAACGTTAGGGAACCTGTAGTGCCTCGAGGCCACTAACACTGCGTCAAAGGTCTCTCTGCACTCCACGTCACCGTTGAGATCCTTGATGACGACGTCCCAGCGACCAGTGGAGTCGTAGTCCTCACCTTGTGTTACCCGGAGGACTTCGCGACGCAGGCGCACTTTACCCGTGATGCCAAAATGGTCTGCGTAGCTCCTGATGTACGCCAACATCCTGGTATGGTGCATGAAGTTGGGAGCCTCTTTGGGAGGGGGAAAGTCGCTGCAGAAATAGAGAACAGTGAACGCTGTCTTGGCATATAGGCCTTTATAAATAGTGACGATAAGAGAAGAATAACAGTTAATTAGTATGAAAATGAATATTCGAGCAATCAATCAAGCACTAGAATAAAAGCAATGCAGAGTGAAAAAAATACATCATGTCTTCACAAAAAATGGGGTGTATATGAAGATAGATACAAATTAATTGCATAAAAGAACACCCTCAATACAATATTCGCATGACCTATGGCTAAGAGATCCTTATGGTTGGCTGCGAATCAATTGGTGGTCGTCCGCGAGTTGCATGTGCTAGAAATCCTGGTGCGCGGGCTGATTCACCGATATCAAAGGGACCTAAGGTACTTTTAAGCTGGCCCAATGAATGGGAAATAACACTAGAATTTTCTACTTATGTGCTAGGAAAGTAAGTTGCCTCAGATACACATCTCATGATGACGCGAATGCCAAGAGATGATCCCTTACGATGAAAAGGAGCTGAGCTAGTTGATTATACATACTTGTAATGTGAGGAGAAATAGGATATCCGACCAGCGATCGGATGTCTTTTATCCTATCTCTCCTCATATACTTTGTGTAAGTTCATCTGGTTTCATAATTAAAAAAAAAAAAAATGATGCTTGTTTTTCTTTTTAAATTTTTTGTTTTGATGTGTAAAGGCTGCAATCTAAAATTGTAGTCTTGTTCAAGATTGTAGTCTAGGGCACAAACGTAAGCATTAAAATATGGTGCCGCCTAATACTAATTTAAAGTAAAACGAGCCGGTATCGTTTCTCCGTATAGTGTCGAGAACTGTAGATCTAGAATAATCGGGCAATCTAGGCCACTTTGTCTCCATTTTGAACTTTAGGCGCAGTTCGCTCATAGAACCTCTTGGAGAAGGAGCTTTATTAAAAAAAAAACAAGTAAAAAAAAAAAAAAAAAACAACTACAATGTGTGGCCATAGAGAGATGGGAGATAATACCAAACAAAAAATCCAAATGAAGCAGTTTTGGCAGCACATTTAATAATTTTAATTGTTTCGAGACATTCTCTCTTAAATTATACACGTATTACGTTCATAACAATTCTCAAGATAGATAACATTAGGAGAGGGTATTGGTTAAACATCTTAGTATTCGAACACATTCCAACGAAGGCTGTCGGTGTTTGACGTGTTTTTGTGTTTCCTGTGTCTCCTTTTGCCTTCGCATACCAAGATGCTCGACATAGTGTCGGTGTTTTGCGTCTGATCTATTGAATTCAAATCATGCTAACTAAAAATTATTAAAGACAGAGGAACGACAACAATCCCATTTGCGGGCCTTCTGACAGAGAAAATGTGGTAAACAACCATGATCAACCATCAAATTGGACTGCGCGTCTTTTTATTGAAAAAAAATAACATAATACGTCAAAGGTTCTTTTAAGGCGTATTATGCTATATCGAATGTATGGTTGAATATCTTTCTTTCTCAATAGGGGGCGCTTTCGCAAACAATGCACAAGTGAACTTGCAAACGCATTTATCTTTGCACTTGAATCGCGCTTCAATGAAGCGGCAGTTGGTCAGGCTGCTCAGCGCCTCCTGTCAATGATTGCCGTTGAGTCCACCATTTTCATAACACCTATTTCGTAGTTCTCTTTAAAACATCCTATTTGAGAATTAGAAACGGAGAAGACGCTTTCGTCTTGGCAACGCTGCGGAAACGCTACACCCCGCACAGCTTTTCTTCTGTAGCGGGCGGTTCAGAAAACTCCGGCGTTGAATTTCTACTTTGGCCCTGCGCTTTTCGATCCAACTTCAAAAACACTGAATCATAAGGTATGAGTATGAGTAGGGATCCGTGTTTTCGGAGCCTATTTTTCGTGAAATTCGGAGGGTGTTTTTCGAAGTTTTTTTTAGGGAAAATTCGGTGTTTATCGGAGTTTATTTTTTTAGCAAGTCCCCGATTTTCTAAAATTTGGATATTAATTTCGCGGTGTTTCTTATTAAAAATAATAAATAATAAACGGATGCAAAACGTACTCCTGATAAAAGAATAAAACGGCGCTTGTATCAATTAAGATTTCTTCAGTTGAATTTGGCGTTGGTGTCATTGGCAATACTAATTTGTCCCACGACAAAAGTTGCACACAAGTGTGGCTTCGATAAACCTTGATACCTTAAAATCAATAAACTGCCGGAGGTATCCGCAAGGAAGCTCATAATCATCCCATCAATCTATCCCGCGGCCGCGCGAGGTGGAGTGGTTATGGATGTAATAGAGATGATTCAACTGCCCCTCTTCCCTATTTTATACAATATCTATGGTCCATAGGTTTCACTGTTACCCACAGAAACATACCCAATCCTTTCTCTAAATCCCAAACTCCATGGCCCAAACTGCAAACCAAAAGACTGGCTTTTGTCGTGACACGAATGGTACGATCACCTGTTTCCCTGAACCAACCTTGACGAGACAAGCCGTAAGACCCCCTTTTGACACCGGTCCGAGGCTTCAAATATAATTGTGGTGTCATTTTCCCAGGACCATTACTCCTGCGCTGCTCAAATTATAAAAAAATAAAATAAAAAATACTTTTTTGTTGTTGTTGTGGAAAAGGGGGGGGGGGGGGGGGGGGGTTATGGGCACATCAAAATTCGGAGCTTATCGGATAAATCCGAATTGACAAAAATTTTACCGGCGGATGTTTTTCGAGGTTTTTCAGATTTATCCGAAAACACGGAATCCCTAGGTATGAGCAACTGAGGCTGCGCTTCTCGCTCCCCGTTTTGTTCCTTGCTTTTTATATCGGAAAGCGCTGCGTTCTCACAACCTGTCAAATAATCATAAACTGATCGAATAAACCCTTGTCTTGAGCTGGTAGTTGGTACTTTTGCGAAACGGAATACCGCGGATATAAGCAGCCTTTGCTTTAGTGAGCGCCGGGTTTTCAGACGATGACGAAAATATCGCTCCAGATTTGAGAGCTTCTGATGTAGCGAATGTTTCACCGAAACTTTTCACTTGCACCTTGTTTCCCTGATAAGTGTAATTTATATAAAAAAAATACCAGCAACTTTCTCAAGGTCATCGAAAGAAAGAAAGCTTTCCCAAACATATTTCACACTACCGATGTACGTGTGTCCCTCTCTGCCCCCCCAGCCCCCCCCCCCCCCCCCCTCCAAAAGAAAATCTAAACAGATGAGCAAATACAGAGTTTATTTATCGCAAAATTAAAATAGGCATCGCTGAAGGCTTATCCTACACCAAAAAGCAGCGCTAGAGCTCCGAACCAGATTACAAAGTTTCAGTAATATGCGTTGTCTTATGAAAAGTTGTGATATTTTAAAATTGTTTAATGAAAAAACGGGGTCCATTTTTTCCCGTTTTTGGAGACTGGCACCATAGAGCTCTTTGTATTTTTTTATTATTACATACTGCAGCCCCGTTGGGGCTATTGCAGGAGTGGGGAGAAAAATCACAGTTCATAGAATTCAATACTCAATAAGACAGAATTATTGCAGCTGACAGAATTCGAGAACTCCGTCAGCTGCAATCTTTTATTTGAAAAATTCTGAAAATTGCCTATAACTTTTGAATAACATATTATTCTTGGTTATAACATTTTGGCATTTGGTTCGGTCCTCTAGCGATACATTTCGGCGGAAAATGACGGTTCGGTGATGCATACATTTTTCAGTTACTAAAACCGTTTGGTTTTAGTTTTTTTAGGGGCGGGACACCCTGTACACTTTAAGATTATATTACTCCCAAACCACAAGTGATTGTTTTTTTTTTATTTTACCTTAAGCTTTAAGGGTACTTTCTAATGAACCTTTATAGAATGCATACGAGCTGAATATCGGCTGGATTCTGTGCAAAAGTGTCTAGCTCGAGTGTAATGGGAAAAGGTTACACAAAGATCAGGGCAACATAAAGGATACAACCCATAGTAGAGAATGCCAAAAAAAACGAAGGCGCTCTTAATCAGAATTAATCGTCGAAACTCGTAACGAGGCGTAAATATTTTCTCGAGATCTGCCAAGCGACTCAGTGGGAATCGAACCTCGGTTTGAGCGATCCACAGCCCGACGCCTTTGCTTGGCGCCTCGAGGAGACGCGAAAGAGAATGGACAGCAGCAGGACGCGGGAGGCGGCAAGAACAGGCAACAGTCAGTGCACGCACCATAGGATAACGCAGTGGGAGTATGACGTCACATCTTCGCATAGAAGCCAGTATTTAAATTAGCGGGTGCAATAAACTTCCACTCGCGATTCCCTCAATTCAAGTGCACTAAGGCTTCAATGCGCTATGTGCTACACGCAATTTCGCGAGACGCAGAGCCCAGATACTCCTACTGTGGAAATACATCTTACATCGCTCTTTTGCATTGTAGATAGCGCGCTGTCAGCGCCGAATCAGGTTGGAAACCCTCGTCTGAGAAAACGCACGCGCATCCCGCTGTCCACGCTGTCGCGCTTTCGCGCTCCGCGGAAGGCTTGCGATTTCTCGGAGGCAGCCGTCTCTGCTCCACAAACCCGGCGGAAATGCTGGGTTGTACGTTTTGCGGTGCTCGTGAAGTAAGCCAGAGAGATTGCGTGCCTGCCGAAGGTACCTCTACGAACATGCTGGATGTGCTTGGGGTTGATCGTTCCCTATTTTTGCTGTCTCTTGATCGAGCAAGACTTTACTCTGTTTCATGCTTAGTGTAAAACGCTCTCCAAGCTGCTACCGCGAGCATGGGGTTTGATCTCGTAGATCATTTGCACACGTTCTCTCGCAAACAAAACCATAGATGAAGCCACGCGCTCCTGCCAGTAACTTTGACAGCGTTTTATACTAAACTAAATTCATTGGATCCTGGGAAAGTAGCGCCAAGCTCCCCGTATGGTTGCCATTTTGATTCATGTAATATAATTTCTATATCACCTCTCCATTCTTTGTTAGCCGATCTCAGTAGACCTATTGCTAAATTACCCAAGCATCAAGGATAATGCTGGGAATGTATGTACGCGCGCCACACGCACTCGCATTCAAATATAAACCATTCGAAGCAAAGCTGAATCAAACAAAAACCAGGTTTGGGAGAAACCTGACTCCCAAGACGGTCAAAAGTATTCTAGAATACGTGCCTGAATGCGCCCAGTACCTTGCTGCTCTTTATGACGGTAGACCGCATGACGGACGGTAGGCCTTCCTGGCTGTCGCCGCGGTAGGCCCACAGGCCACCCAGGCTGGACGACAGCTCGCAGATGACTGGCTCGAAGCCCTCGTCATGCATCTGACGTGCAGCGAGGATGCCGCTCGATCCGCCTCCCACAATGCAGACCCGCAGTGGCCCTTTGTCATTGCTGATGCGCTGCATGATACTAAAAAAAATCTCAATTAATTTTAGGCCCTCTCCTTTCTCTAACCTTTAACCCATACAAAAATGGTCTATGGACGTCTATGGAAAATCCTATGGTGAGCTATCACCTTCTATGGCCCTCTATGGTCAGCCATAAGAAACCATAAAACACGCTATAGCCACCTATAGAAAAATGTATGTCTTCAAAGCTTTAGAATCTCGACCATTCCGATTTCTATACCTGGCTATAGAATAATTTAGGACTACGCAGCTATAGACTCGCGACTATTCAATATTCTTTAGCAAGCTATAGACATATGTATGTCCTTGATGCTATAGATCCGCGACTATTGAATGTGCTTTAGCCGGCTATAGAGTGGAGTATGTCCCTAAATCTATAGAATCGCGACCATTGAATTTTCTTTAGCCGACTCTATAGCATTTTATGTCACCGAAGCTATAGGCCTCTGACCTTTCAATGTTCTTTAGTCGGCTACAGAGTGGTGTATGTCCCTAAGCCTATAGACTCGCGACCATCGAACTTTCTTTAGCCGTCTCTATAGCGTTTTATGTCACCTAAGCTATAGGCCTCCGACCTTACAATGTGCTTTAGCCGGCTATAGAGGGATGTATGTCTCCCGAGCTATAGACTCGCGACCATCCAATTTTTTTAGTCGGCTCAATGGTTTGCTTAGGCTATAGGCCCGCGACCCTTTTTTTTTTTTTTTTTTTTTTTTACTGCAGATGTACGAAAGTGGAAGAGAGTCATTCATGCGCTCGATCGGGGCGAGAATTTTCTTCAGCCAGGTTAACGGGGCGTACGTCGCCGCGGCTATACGCCCGCGATCACAAAAGCTTCCTTAGCTGCCTATAGGACTATTGCAGTTTTGCCGGCTGCTTTCCCTGCGCATTGCCTTATTTCGGCGTTGACGTCATCTCAATCTTCCGTTTTTTAGCTCTAATTATCTGTCGTTTCCAGTGTATTTTGTAAGTGTATGTATTTCGTAGCGCGCCTTCTACTTTGTCCGTGTCCCTGCCATGCTTTTATTTCTTTCTGCCTCCTGTGTTAAATATATTTAATGTTTTTTGTGTATATTTCGTCGTTCTCGACGGGGCGTCAAGAACGCTGCTTACGCCACTACAGAGGTGAGCTTTACTCTTGTCACGACGGTTTATCGCGCTATAAAGCCGTCTACTGGACTCGTATAAAGTCTCGAGAGGGCTGTTTCGAATGCCGGTGCACATGTCATCGGTGTAGGTAGAGCAACGACGTAGCAATCGCGACGCGAGAGCTGACTGCGCCTCGATCTGGCCGGCCGCGCTCGCTCTGTGGAAATGTAAGCTTGGGACTCCCGAGCCCTGTTAGCTTACTGAAGATGCAAGACACTACTTGGTCGTCGCGAATCCTTTGCCCATCGAATGGCTTCGAAGCCGTTCCAGCGCCCGGCGTATACCCTACGCAGTGTCCTCCAACAACCGTTCGCACAGCATCGGAACCCTCCGTCTGCGAGCCCCGGCGGTTCGCCGTCGCGGGTTTTATGTTCGCGGAAGTTCATGTTCGCGGTGTTTCATATTCGCCGCAGGAGTTCATAAAATGCTCCAATTGAAATCGCGACGATAAATCGTCGGCGCTCGCAGACTGCCAGTAGGCTCCTGACAGTCGCTGACAGGCGCTGCTGCCTAGGGTACGCCGAGCACTGGAACGTTTTCGCCGGCGTTCGCAGGACAAAGATTCTCAACGACAAAGCAGCGCCCTGCATCATCAGCAAGTTAACGCTGCTCGAGAGTCCCACGCTCACATTTTATCAGAGTGAGGCGCAGTCGTCTCTCACTTCGCGATTGCTGCGTCGTTGCTCTGACTAAACAATTGACAGTTCTCTCGAGACTTCATGAGCGTTAAATCGACGCGTCTATAGCGCGATAGATTGTCGTGACAACAAAAAAGCTTACCCCGGCAGGGGCGTGAGCAGCGGTGCAATGTCCGTCAACGCCCATGTCGAGAACGGCGAAATATATACAAATAACAGCCGAAACAAAAATTGATATCATTAGGCACGCGCTACCCTAGGTGTGTCCTATTATCTCTCTGTTCTGCGAATTCAACAAATCAGCAAGCGCTGTGGCTAATTTCTCTTCTTTTTCTTCAAATTATGAGACATTAAAGTCATTCGAGCTTCTTGGAGCACACATCCCCACCATCTGTCATCATGGTGCTCAGAGATTGTAATTGATGGCAGTGATATAGACTGAACTCACGGATGAAAAACGTATTACGGCACAAATTTCTTAAACCACGCAATCATAGATGCCACAACGATGCAAAGATTCCCAAAATTTAAGTTTAAAAATGCGAACCTAACAGTGTACACATAATTCAAAAGTGCTTGGTAAAAAAAAAAAAATATATATATATATATATATATATATATATATATAAAGCAGCCGGCCAAACTGCAATAGTCCTATAGGCAGCTAAGGAAGCTTTTGTGATCGCGGGCGTATAGCCGCGGCGACGTACGCCCCGTTAACCTGGCTGAAAAAAATTCTCGCCCCGATCGAGCGCATGAATGACTCTCTTCCACTTTCGTACATCTGCAGTAAAAAAAAAAAAAAAAAAAAAAGGGTAAACCATTGAGCCGACTAAAAAATTGGATGGTCGCGAGTATATATATATTTTTTTTTTGTGGACATCCTGCGCAAAGAAAAAGTATTCGCCATTAATTATTCATTTTAAATTATAATGTGGGCTACAAGGCGTAAAATATGATATCTTCAAACTTGCCTCGTTTTGGGTCACTTCTGGGAAATGCAGCTTTAGAAAAAAGTCCAAAAGCTGGGGGGCCTTCATGGAGCTGTCCTGTTCACTCGGTAGTGGCAGCAGAGTAGACGCTATGCGTGTTTGAGGCCAATCATGTCTCCGGTTAGGGTCCCGTGACAACTGCCTCGAAGCTGGTGATAACGCTGGACACGGCACCTGCCTTAATCCCAAGGCCACACATAGCATCCACTGCACTATCAACCTTGGCTCGAACTGTCAACAGGATATAAGTGACACATTCTCTCGCTGTGTTCATTGTTGGTATGCCCCTGAAGATTAGGCTTTGTGATCGCACCCCCGTTCTGGCCTTGAAGGAGCTCTGCTTTTCAATTTTTCTGTTTTCTCTCTTTCCCTAAGCTAAAAGCATTGTAGAAGGTGCGGACTTGGCGGACCAATCAACCGTAGACTTTCTATCGCTTCACTCCGCTCTCTGTGCGCATGTAACGGAAGGAGCGTGATCACGTGGTTTGACGGATGACGCATTAGCCACTGCCAATCCCGGAATGAGGCTGCTTGCGGACCTAGTTTCGCGTGTCGTGCGGCCCGCGGGGCTGCTGTGGATTTCGCTTCTATGGTAAAAGGTATCCCGATCGAAAAGTCCTACCCGTATGTCGGCAACAAGCGATTTCTTCAAAGAAGCCCAAGACATTCCTGTGATGCGTTCAGTGTTCGGTTCGGCAAATGACAGCTTGTGCTACATCGTGGTGAATCTTCACGGATCCCTTCCTTCTCGGTTTTGTGTTTGAGTGGTTGGTCTGCAGTGCCCGTGTCGACGTATATTTCGGATTACATCTTTCAAGTCCGGTATTTTGAACGTAAGTGCGCTGCAACCTACTCGGCGACAATTGACCGTTCTGTAGTGTCTATCTCCTGGCAGTGCCTATCTTCTGACAGCTGGGAGAATAATTTCCCCGTAATTCTAACGCAGTCGCCTGCCATTAGCTCTCTAAAATCATGTGAAAATTGTAGTTAGAATACTGACATTCTTATTCTCCCAGCGTTTTGTGGAAAGACGTTTCATGGACACCTTTACGTGGAAGGACGTTTCATGGACACACGTTTAGTCGGCACTCGTTACGCGAATTGCACGCTGCAGGGACATTTCGTCGCGCCTGTATTCCTGAAGCGCGTGCTCACCGACTCAGCCCACCCGTTCACGCCACTTCTTGGCAAATTATTACAAAAAAGAACATATTTTGAGTTGTTTATAAACGTCACGTGTTGATGAAACGATCTCGATGAAACGTCTTTTGATAAACTGATTGCAGCGCCAATGAGTGGCGACTGGAATTAGAATTTCGGGGGGAAGGGGGGGGGGGGGGGGGGGGAGAATTCGGCCGGCTGCCGCGGGACTAGACACTACCCAGGAATTGCCTTTGGTTCTTGTTTGCTTTGCAATATTCTCAGTTGTATAACAGCTCAGTAGTACCTCTTCACATAGTAGAGATTGCTTAGTGTGCGCTTGTCTACAGAATGGGCTGTGTGTAATAAACTTCTAGGAGATTTGAAAACAATACCTTGTGTCTGTTTACCTGTGCTTTTGCAAACACCTGAGTGAGTGCATTTGTTTTTTGTTGTTGTTTTGTTGAAATGTTAGCTCTTTGTTTTAAATGGGGCTATGAAGTTCGGCACGTCTCACAAGGTTTTTTTTTAAAGATGTCCAGTGACAACAAATAATTTGTTTCACATTTCATACGATTGCGGTAAAAAGAAAAACTACAGGCAGCTATGGCACGATGGTAAAGAGTCTCATAAGACGAGCTATAGAATGAGCTATAGCGGACCATGCAAAGAGCCATAGGCGGCTAAAGAAACTATAGGAAAAGCCATAAGCAGCTATAGCACGGTGTCTAAAAAGACCCATAAAGTAAGCCATAGAGATCTCTATAGCAGACCATACAAGAAGCTATAGACGGCCGTAGCAAGATGGGTAGAAAGAACCATAGGACGAAATATAGAATGAGCTATAGCGAACTCTACAAAGAGCAATAGGCGGCTGAAGAGACCACAGGAAAAGCCATAGGCAGCTATAGCACGGTGTCTAAAGCGAACCATAAAGTAAGCCATAGAGATCTCTATAGAAGACCTTACAAGAAGCTATAGACGGCCAAAGGAACCAAAAGAAAAGCCATAAGCAGCTATAGCACGGTGTCTAAAGCGAACCATAAAGCAAGCCATAGAGATCTCTATAGAAGACCTT